GCAAAGTGACGGAGATCTGACGGAGAATTGCCGGAGAATTGACGGAGGATCGACGGAGAACTGACGCAGAGTTGACGGAGGATTGACGGAGCGTTGACGGAGAATCGACGGAGCATTGACGGAGGATTGAAGGAATCCCGGCCAGCAGAAAGAGTCACCCCGCCACAGGAAATCCTAAAAGGAATCCCGGCCACACCCCGCCACAGGAAACCCTAAAAGGAATCCCGGCCAGCAGAAAGAGTCGCCCCGCCACAAAAAACCCTAAAAGGAATCTCGGCCAGCAGAAAGAGTCATCCCGCCACAGGAAACCCTAAAAGGAATCCCGGCCAGCAGAAAGAGTCGCCCCGCCACAGAAAACCCTAGGAGGAATCCCGGCCAGCAGAAAGAGTCATCCCGCCACAGGAAACCCTAAAAGGAATCCCGGCCAGCAGAAATAGTCACCCCGCCACAGAAAACCCTAGGAGGAATCCCGGCCAGCAGAAAGAGTCATCCCGCCACAGGAAACCCTAAAAGGAATCCCGGCAGTCGCCCCGCCACAGAAAACCCGAATCGCGGCCAGCAGAAAGAGTCACCCCGCCACAGGAAACCCTAACAGGAATCCCGGCCAGCAGAAAGAGTCACCCCGCCACAGCAAAGACTAAAGGAATCCCGGCCACACCCCGCCACAGGAAACCCGAAAAGGAATCCCGGCAAGCAGAAAGAGTCACCCCGCCACACCCCGCCACAGGAAACCCTAAAAGGAATCCCGGCCAGCAGAAAGAGTCACCCCGCCACAGGAAACCCTAAAAGGAATCCCGGCCAGCAGAAAGAGTCATCCCGCCACGGGAAATCCTAAAAGGAATTCAGGCCAGCAGAAAGAGTCACCCCGCCACATCAAAGCCTAAAAGGAATCCCGGCCAGCAGAAAGAGTCACCCCGCCACAGGAAACCCTAAAAGGAATCCCGGCCAGCAGAAAGAGTCACCCCGCCACAGAAAACCCTAAAAGAAATCTCGGCCAGCAGAAAGAGTCACCCCGCCACAGAAAACCCTAAAAGGAATCCTGGCCAGCAGAAAGAGTCACCTCGCGACAGGAAACCCTAAAAGGAATCCCGGCCAGCAGAAAGAGTCACCCCGCCACAGGAAACCTTAAAAGGAATCTCGGCCAGCAGAAAGAGTCATCCCGCCACAGGAAACCCTAAAAGGGATCCCGGCCAGCAGAAAGAGTCACCCCGCCACAGGAAATCCTAAAAGGAATCCCGGCCAGCAGAAAGAGTCACCCCGTCACAGGAAACCCTAAAAGGAATCGCGGCCAGCAGAAAGAATCACCCCGCCACAGAAAACCCTAAAAAGAATCCTGACAAGCAGAAAGAGTCGACCCGCCACAGCAAACCCTGAAAGGAATCCTGACCAGCTGAACGAGTCCACGCGCCACAGTAAACCTTAAAAAGAATCCTGACCAGCAAAAAGAGGCGACCCACCACAGGAAAGCCTAAAAAGAATCCTGACAAGCAGAAAGAGTCGACCCGCCACAGGAAACCCTAAAAGGAATCCTCACCAGCAGAAAAAGCCGACCCGCCACAGTAAACCTTAAAAAGAATCCTGACCAGCAGAAAGAGGCGGCCCACCACAAGAAAGCCTAAACGAAATCCTTACCAGCAGAAAGAGCCCACCCGCCACAGGAAACCCTAAAAGGAATCCTGACCAGCAGAAAGAGCCGACCCGCCACAGGAAACCCTAAAAGAAATTCTGCCCTAAAAGGAATCCTGACCAGCAGAAAGACCCGACCCGCCACAGAAAACCCTAAAAGGAATCCCGGCCAGCAGAAGGAGTCACCCCGCCACAGGAAACCCTAAAAGAAACCCCGGCCAGCAGAAAGAGTCACCCCGCCACAGGAAACCCTAAAAGGAATCTCGGCCAGCAGAAAGAGTCATCCCGCCACAGGAAACCCCAAAAGGAATGCAGGCCAGCAGAAAGAGTCGCCCCGCCACACAAAACCCTAAAAGGAATCCCGGCCAGCAGAAAGAGTCACCCCGCCACAGAAAACCTTAAAAGGAATCCCAGCCAGCAGAAAGAGTCATCCCGCCACAGAAAACCCTAAAAGGAATCCCGGCCAGCAGAAAGAGTCACCTCGCCACAGGAAACCCTAAAAGGAATCCCGGCCAGCAGAAAGAGTCACCCCGCCACAGGAAATCCTAAAGGGAATCCCTGCCACACCCCGCCGCAGGAAACCCTAAAAGGAATCCCGGCCAGCAGAAAGAGTCACCCCGCCACAGAAAACCCTAAAAGGAATCTCGGCCAGCAGAAAGAGTCACCCCGCCACAGGAAACCCTAAAAGGAATCCCGGCCAGCAGGAAGAGTCGCCCCGCCACAGAAAACCCTAGGAGGAATCCCGGCCAGCAGAAAGAGTCACCCCGCCACAGGAAACCCTAAAAGGAATCCCGGCCAGCAGAAAGAGTCATCCCGCCACAGAAAACCCTGAAAGGAATCTCGGCCAGCAGAAAGAGTCACCCCGCCACAGAAAACCCTAAAAGGAATCTCGGCCAGCAGAAAGAGTCACCTCGCCACAGGAAACCCTAAAAGGAATCCCGGGCAGCAGAAAGAGTCACCCCGCCACAGGAATCCTTAAAAGGAATCTCGGCCAGCAGAAAGAGTCATCCCGCCACAGGAAACCCTAAAAGGAATCTCGGCCAGCAGAAAGAGTCACCCCGCCACAGGAAATCCTAAAAGGAATCCCGGCCAGCAGAAAGAGTCACCCCGCCACAGGAAACCCTAAAAGGAATCGCGGCCAGCAGAAAGAATCACCCCGCCACAGAAAACCTAAAAGGAATCTCGGCCAGCAGAAAGAGTCACCCCGCCACAGAAAACCCTAAAAGGAATCCTGGCCAGCAGAAAGAGTCACCTCGCCACGGGAAACCCTAAAAGGAATCCCGGCCAGCAGAAAGAGTCACCCCGCAGAGGAATCCTTAAAAGGAATCTCGGCCAGCAGAAAGAGTCATCCCGCCACAGGAAACAGAGAGAGAGAGAGAGAGAGAGAGAGAGAGAGAGAGAGAGAGAGAGAGAGAGAGAGAGAGAGAGAGAGAGAGAGAGAGAGAGAGAGAGAGAGAGAGAGAAGAGGCCAGCAGAAAGAGTCACCCCGCCACAGGAATCCTAAAAGGAATCCCGGCCACACCCCGCCACAGGAAACCCTAAAAGGAATCCCGGCCAGCAGAACGAGTCACCCCGCCACAGAAAACCCTAAAAGGAATCTCGTCCAGCAGAAAGAGTCATCCCGCCACAGGAAACCCCAAAAGGAATCCCGGCCAGCAGGAAGAGTCGCCCCGCCACAGAAAACCCTAGGAGGAATCCCGGCCAGCAGAAAGAGTCACCCCGCCACAGGAAACCCTGAAAGGAATCCCGAAAGAGTCACCCCGCCACAGAAAACCCTAAAAGGAATCCCGGCCAGCAAAAAAAAAACATCCCGCCACAGAAAACCCTAAAAGGAATCCCGGCCAGCAGAAAGAGTCACCTCGCCACAGGAAACCCTAAAAGGAATCCCGGCCAGCAGAAAGAGTCACCCCGCAACAGGAAATCCTAAAAGGAATCCCGGCCACACCCCGCGACAGGAAACCCTAAAAGGAATCCCGGCCAGCAGAAAGAGTCACCCCGCCACAGGAAACCCTAAAAGGAATCCCGGCCAGCAGAAAGAGTCACCCCGCCACAGGAAACCCTAAAAGGAATCCCGGCCAGCAGGAAGAGTCGCCCCGCCACAGAAAACACTAGGAGGAATCCCGGCCAGCAGAAAGAGTCACCCCGCCACAGAAAACCCTAAAAGGAATCCCGGCCACACCCCGCCACAGGAAACTCCAAAAGGAATCCCGGCCAGCAGAAAGAGTCACCCCGCCACACCCCGCCACAGGAAACCCTAAAAGGAATCCCGGCCAGCAGAAAGAGTCACCCCGTCACAGGAAACCCTAAAAGAAATCCCGGCCAGCAGAAAGAGTCACCCCGCCACGGGAAATCCTAAAAGGAATCCCGGCCAGCAGAAAAAGTCACCCCGCGACAGGAAAGCCTAAAAGGAATCCCGGCCAGCAGAAAGAGTCACCCCGCCACAGGAAACCCTAAAACAAATCCCGGCCAGCAGAAAGAGTCACCCCGCCACAGAAAACCCTAAAAGAAATCCCGGCCAGCAGAAAGAGTCACCCCGCCACAGAAAACCCTAAAAGGAATCCTGGCCAGCAGAAAGAGTCCCCTCGCCACAGAAAACCCTAAAAGGAATCCCGGCCAGCAGAAAGAGTCACCCCGCCACAGGAAACCTTAAAAGGAATCTCCCCTAAAAGGAATCCCGGCCAGCAGAAAGAGTCACCCCGCCACAGGAAATCCTAAAAGGAATCCCGGCCAGCAGAAAGAGTCACCCCGCCACAGGAAACCCTAAAAGGAATCGCGGCCAGCAGAAAAAATCACCCCGCCACAGAAAACCCTAAAAAGAATCCTGACAAGCAGAAAGAGTCGACCCGCCACAGCAAACCCTCAAAGGAATCCTGACCAGCAGAACGAGTCCACCGCCACAGTAAACCTTAAAAAGAATCCTGACCAGCAGAAAGAGTCACCTCGCCACAGGAAAGCCTAAAAAGAATCCTGACAAGCAGAAAGAGTCGACCCGCCACAGAAAACCCTAAAAGGAATCCCGGCCAGCAGGAAGAGTCGCCCCGCCACAGAAAACCCTAGGAGGAATCCCGGCCAGCAGAAAGAGTCACCCCGCCACAGGAAACCCTAAAAGGAATCCCGGCCAGCAGAAAGAGTCACCCCGCCACAGGAAACCCTACAAGGAATCCCGGCCAGCAGAAAGAGTCATCCCGCCACAGGAAACCCTAAAAGGAATCTTGGCCAGCAGAAAGAGTCACCCCGCCACAGGAAATCCTAAAAGGAATCCCGTCCAGCAGAAAGAGTCACCCCGCCACAGGAAACCCTAAAAGGAATCCCTGCCAGCAGAAAGAGTCACCGCCACAGGAAATCCTAAAAGGAATCCTGACAAGCAGAAAGAGTCACCTCGCCACAGGAAACCCTAAAAGGAATCCCGGCCAGCAGAACGAGTCCACCCGCCACAGGAAATCCTAAAAGGAATCCCGGCCACACCCCGCCACAGGAAACCCTAAAAGGAATCCTGACCAGCAGAACGAGTCCACCCGCCACAGTAAACCTTAAAAAGAATCCTGACCAGCGGAAAGAGGCGACCCACCACAGGAAAGCCTAAAAGAAATCCTTACCAGCAGAAAGAGTCGACCCGCCACAGGAAACCCCTACACCAAACTCTAAACCAAACCCTGAAACCTAACCCTAAACCAAACCCTGAGTCATTCCTGCACAACCATTCGCGACTAGCTGTTGATATTCGCGGATGGGTCCCGCGTCAATCGCTGATTGGCACGCGTGTGTTCGCTGATTGGCCGTCGCTGATTGGGAGTCGCCGATTGGGGGCACTGTTCGCTGATAGGCATTTCCCCCGGAAAGGACCTCCATGGTTTTCTGTGCCGGCTTGGGAAAGCCTCCCTACCCCCTTCCCCTCCCTCCCCCCCTCCTTTCCGGAAAACCCAACAAGAACACAATAAATATATATACCTAAAAACTAGGGTGCCCCCTCTTTCAGGGCTGGTTTCCCTGTTGCTTTCCTTTTCAACCCGTCCCCCCCCCCCCCATTTGTGTTTTCTGTTCTTTTCTTAAAAAAAAGGTGTCCCCCCCAAAACAAAACCAACCACGCCCCCCATCCCGCCGCTTCCACCCGGCTCCAGCCGCTCCGCGCTCAACGCTGGGTGCCCCCGGCAGCGCCAGGCCCAGCATGATGAGCCCCAGGGAGGCCGAGGTCATGTAGAAGGCCCGGACCAAGGCCCTGCGTCGCTTCACGGGTTCGCGCGCGCGCGCGCGCGCGCGACCCGGCGCGCGATTTTGTTTGTGGAAGCCGGGCAAGGAAAAACTGAAGACACCGTGGAAACACGTGGAAAAAGGAAAAAGGAAAAGAAGAAGCAAAAATAAAAAGAACACAGCGGAAGCCCAAAAAGAGAGGGGTCACCCGAAAGGAGATCCGGGAAAAGCTGGCTTTTTGGTTGGGAATGTGCGGAGTAGCTGCATCGCTGGAGGAGGCCGGACCTTGATTCTCTGATAGAACTTCACTAGGTCCTCCGGTAGAGAGGTTAGAATAAGGGTACCCTTTTCTCTGTAGTCTATTTTGGTAGGAGAACCCTCCCCAAAAAAAGGGTAAAAGGGCACTACTTGGGGACCTAGGCAACATTCCCAGGTCTCCAAAAGAACCCCCTGCGCCAGAAATGCCGCTGAGTGAGGAGTGGGTTTTGGAGGCAACCTAAGGGTCCGATCAATGGGTCGCGGCTCGCAACAAGCAAGTCAGTCCGGCCGTGGGCAACCTCCAGTACCTTGCCTTGGTAAGGGCATGGTTGGGGCTCCTTTGAGATATGGGTTTTGGAGGCATGAAGATTCTATACCACATGTAAAAATGCCAGCAAGGAAAACAAGTACACTCGGCAATGCGCGGCCTGGCAAAGCCTCATAGATTACCCACTATGGGGTGTTGGAGGTATGAAGATTCTAAAAAGACTCACCATGAGGAACAAACAGGGCACCTTTTTGGGGATACGTTAATGCGCAAAGGACGCCCCTTCCACAAACAACAAATGAGGCACCACTGGACTGAGTGTTCCTTTATCCGATCCCTTTTTCCTGAGGAGGCTTCTAAGCACGGACGAGGGTTATGCATCAAGGGGTCACTCCCTTGACCTGCCATAGGAAAAAAGAAGAAGAACAAAAACCTGGTTGAGGACTTTGCTTTCTGGCTGCACCCATTTCTCGGGATCCGGCCCTTTCTGCGGCCCGGAAACACTTCTTGCTTGACATTTCCCTAGGCCGATGGTTTTTTTTTTATTGTTTGCCGTGCTTGTTTTTAGAGAGCAACTGGAACCTGTCTGCTAAATATGGTCAGTTTTTTTTTGAGCCTGTCTGCCAGAAAAGTGAAGTCGAAACCAGCGCAATTGACTCTTCTTGTGCGGAGGTTGTCAGTCCTCAGCCTTCGATAGATGCAAAAGGCGACCTGGACCTTTGGCTTGAAATCTCAATCCGGGACGCCGCAAAACCTCCCGGGATGTGTAAGCTCCTATCGTCAAGGGACTTTTCGCGAGGGTTGTGCTTTGACAGCAAGCTCCGGCGACAAGGCATGCCATTATTTTCTGGCTTTTGTTTCCGTCATATGCTAGGTCCTCCAGTAGAGAGGTCAGAATAAGGGACCCAACTTTTTTCTGTAGTCTTTAGTAGGGGAACCCTCCCCCAAAAAAGCGGGTCAAAGGGCACCATTGGGGGTAGTATGTCCTACAACACATAGGTATCCTGCAGTGGGAGTGTGCAGGCTACGGGACTGGGTGATTTCGCCTGACATAGCACTGGCCGCTTCCCGCCCGCCTTGTCTCCTTCCAACCTCAAGCTCAAAAAAGAAAAAAAAGCGATGTCCGAAACTCCCATTTGGTTAAGACCCCTGGGAAAAATGAAGAGAAACAAACAACATCCAGTAAATAAATTATGTTTAAAACCAACAAGGAAAACATTAAACTATTCAGTTTGCCTTGGGCCTCGCTGAGCCTTTGCCATGGGTTTTGTCCTTTAGGCCTGTTCAGGCTCAGAAATGCCGGCGCCTTGCAGCCGGTTTTCTTGTGGGTGCATTGAGCGCGTCTAATAGCAAGAGCGCGCTTCTGGCCCTCTGGTGGAAGAGTGTCTGGTTTTGCAGTCTGGGCAAGACGATCCGCTCCGATCCACTGAACAAAATTCGCCTTAGCACCCTGATGTTGTCTTGGTTTGGGGTTGGTTTCAAAAAAAAACTAGGCAACCCCACGATTTTCGATTTTCACCAGATGACAAATCCATGTGGGAAATCCGCACCCCCTCAAGCACTTGGAGGTGACACACACACACACACAGCCTGTGTTTTCCTTGGACCTTCATCTTCGAGCCCCAAGATCGGGGTTGGGACCTTCCGGTTTCGCTGGGAGGCTCGGTTTTCTGTCTTGCGAAATCAGCGCCAACAGCCGTCTAGGTAACTATTTGGCGGTGTCCTTTTTTGACCCCCTTTGGTGGTCATTCAAGGGAAACCAAAAGACAAACCACCATTTCGGGGGGGCCCCCAAAAAAAGACACACCCACTTTTGAAAGCCAGCCATCAATCGTGCACTGTACCCCCTGAGTTCAGTTTGTTTGGAAGTGACCCTTGTACAACAGGTCATCTGACCAGTGGACCAGGGGAGATCCTTTTGCTGCTACCATACCTGCCTAGAATATTTAGGCGGCCCATCTGGGTTGTTCAAAAGAGGCAAAGCGGTGGGGCTCAATCAAGACCGCCCCAAATCCATACCACACCGACACACAGTCTCCGTTTTTTCGGAACCTACTTGAGGCACCACGGCCAAGCGCATGAGTTTGATCCATCTACAGCTGGGCCACGTGACAGTGGCACCACCCTCCAAATGTTGGCTTTCTAGGTCCTCCAGTAGAGAGGTTGGAATAAGGGTACCAACTTTTTTGCTGTAGGCTATTTTAGTAGGGGAACCCTCCCCCAAGAAAGTTGGTAAAAGGGCACCATTGCGGGTACTAGTTACTTCCGCAAACACGGGGGACTGGGGCCATCTGCTTTGCCAAGGCGTTCCACAGATGTCCAGAGCCCCCGGCTAATGAGACCTGCGAAGACCACCACCAGCAATGCCACCAGGCTCAGCAGCATGAGCATCACCTCATCTTTGTGGACCCGTTTTTGGTTGGCTAGGTCCTCCAGATTTGAGAGGATAGAATCAGTTGGTGTTCGTCTACTTTACTAGGGGAACCCTCCCCAAATGGGTGAAAGGGTACTGGGGGAGCTAGTTGGCGTTAACAAGAGGATCTAAAAGGACACCAGCCTCTCTTTTTTCCCGCCCCCCCCATTTTGAGCCCCTTATTATTTTTCTGGTCTGGCGCTTGGGAACCTCCCGTTGAGACTCGCCTGCTCGTCTATGGCAAAACCGTCAAGCCCTCAGCTCCCTTCTCATTCGCTGGCAAGAAATGGTGGGTCAACACCCCGGTGACCCCCAGTGAACATCCCAATCCCCACTAAAATAGACTAAAATGGATGGTGCACCTAGCGCAAAATGGTTCCCATTGGGTTTGACCCACGGCCAAATGAGAATCCAAAAGAAATCCTAGCTGAAGGGGGTCCCGTATTTCAAGCACTGTGCCCATGTGGACCAATGACTGGAACATCCAAGACCGAGCTTACCTGTGTGGCGTAGACCGGTCCGTTTCGCGCCGGACAATCCTATTTGCACACCCTTTGCCTTGCTCTCTTTCAAATCACATGGGCTCTCAGTTTCGGAGAGAAACAATCGGGAGAATCTCTGACAAACTGTGAAACAGCTGAAGGGAGGCACGTGCAATCAAAACAAGCGCTTTGAAACAGGAAGACGTGTCAGGTTGTCATGTTGCCAAAAGCAAAGAGAGGGACTTGAGCTGAGACTTTGTTGTTCGGCAGCGGGCCACTGTCTGACAAACAAATATGTAGCCACACAAGACTGAGCGTGACATAAGCCATGATTTCTTTCAAAGGAACCACGAAGGAGGTGGATGTTCCTTTTTGTCCAAGCCCCTCTTATTACCCCACCTCCCCCCCAAAAGGGCCAGTCCAGTCCACATTGGAAGGTCGAAGTCGCAGGCATTTCAGCTGAACTTCCCTCCCGCCCACTAACATGGAACTCAACTAGAGGCCCTGAAGGACCTTCTGGCGGATTCCATGTTAGTGAGTGGGAAGGTAGATGCAGCCCTGCAAACCAGTCCGGCAAACAACGGAAAGCGCCTGCCACGGCATGCGATGGCTTTCCCTTGTTTTCCCTTGCTTTCCCTTGACTTCCTTCGCTTGACCTTGTTTTTTCCCTTGCGTTGCCTTGCTTTCCCTTGCTTTCCCTTTCCCTTGCTTTCCCCGAATTTCCCTTGCAGTCCCTTGCTTGCTGTCCCTTGCTTTCCTTTGCTTTGCCTTGCTTTGCCAGTGCTTTCGCTTGCTTTGCCTTGCTGTCCCTTGCTTTCCCTTGTGTTTTCCTTGCTTTCCCTTGCTTTTTTGTTGCTGTCCCTTGCTGTCCCTTGCTTTCATTTGCTTTGACTTGTTTTGCCCGTGCTGTTGCTTGCTTTCCCTTGCTGTCCATTGCTGTCCCTTGCTTTGCCTTGCTTTCCCTTGCCTGGCTTGCTTTCCCCTACTTTCGCTTCCTTTGCCCTTGCTTTCTCTTGGTTTGCCTTGCTTTGCCTTGCTGTCCCTTGCTGTCCCTTGCCAGCTTGACCCAAGTCAGAGCAAACCAACAACTGCACAACCCTCCTGCACTGAATCACATACAAGCAACAACCCAAACCAGCGCCCGTGCTTACACACCCCGTGTCGTCTCCCTGGAACCTGCAAACCAGCCTTGCGGTGGCAGAAAGTGCTCCAAAAAATACTCCCAAAAAATGGGAGCATTTTTCCTGCGAGCATCGCCGACCACCACAAAAACTTCCAAAACAAGCGACATCCCCTGCATCCCCGGCATCCCCTGCATCCCCGGCACCCCTTGTGCGCCCAAGTCCGGCGAGGCCGGAAGCAAGGTAAAATGATGTAAAACTGGCACGCTTTTTGGCCCGCAGAAAGTGCTCCAAAAAATACTCCCATTTTTTGGGAGTATTTTTCGGCTGACCAGACCTGCAAATCCCCCGGAACGAGGTTACCCCCCCCCACCCCCCCCCCCACAACTTCGTACACCAACTCCCAGCGCTTCAAGAAGCGCTTTCCGTCATCAGGCTGAGAAAGTACCACTTGGCTGTGGCTCAAACAAATGTACCAAAATGGCCGCCTTGGTAAATGGAGCCAAAAAAACCAAAACCAGCGCAGCTCTCGCTCCTTCATTTTGAGCCACAGCCACTTCTGTGAGAGCTTCCGCACTGGGCTGCAGAATGGGAACCTCTGATTCCCCCAGCCCGCACTGCGCATCGACTGTCAGAAAACGGTTCGCCGCACTTGGGGCCTCTGGCGCAGCTGATTCGTTGGGGGGGGGGGGGATGATCAGGCCCCAAAGAACGGCCACGAGAAGGCAAAAGTGCGCGTGACGTCCCAAAGAGGAGCCCGAAGCAGACCAAGAGGACCCAAGCCCGGCAGCTTGGGCTCGAGACCCGAGCCCCGAGCTGGGAGGTCCGAACAAGAAATGATTCCCGAGATGCAAATCTGTGGACGAGAGTCTGGGCGGACCAGAAAAATTCAACCTCCGTGGGGAGGGCAAAAATCGCCAAGAACGAGTCTTCGGAGTCAATCCGAAGCAGCACCCTCCCCACAAAAATGGAAGAAATCCATCCCAGCCGGCCCAGCCAAAACCGAGGAGGCCTTTGTGTGGTTCCGGTGTTGGCCCAAGAGCCGGAAGCCCGGGCTGCCCGGCAATGATCACGAAGAAGCTGGGAAACCATTGCTCCCACGCGAACTTGGAGTAGATAAAGAACCTGAAAACCACCGAGAAATCCGGCGCGAGATCTGCGGCTTCTTGGATGGGGAAATTTTGGACATAAAAAACACACAGGTGTTGGGGGGAAGGGGGGGGGAAAAGGGGGGGGGGGTTTTGCGGGATGGTGCTCGGTTTTCTCTGGAATCCCAACTTGTTCCCCCCCCCCCTCGCCCCCAAACCGGCCCCTTGGTGAGGTTGCGAGATGTTGCCCATGTGGAAGAATCCGCCTTGTGATGGCATCACCGAAAGACACCCGCAATTTCAGCAAACATGAGCCACAAAACTAACCTTCCCAAAGACCCCGCAAACGTTTTGGTCTTTAGAAGGACTATTCAGGTCAAATAAGGCCAACAGTCCATTCGCGCGAAGGAAGCTAGCCGCCTGCATTCCTTTTTTCCTTTCCTGAATGTTGAGAATAATAGATAGGGAATTCTCTTCGTTCTCTCGCCATTCTACACTATAGGTGAAAGACATGTCAAGGAAAGGAAAAGCGAGAATGAACAGAGAATAGGAGCGACAGATGGAAAGCGAACAAAGACGAGGGTTGACCATCCTATCTCTTCTTTCCCTCATCTATATCTCATCCCAACTCATTCTCTTGGAAGCAGCGGTTGGGTGCTGAGTGAGGAAGGAAGAGATGGAGACAAACAACCGTTCCTTGTTTTTCAAGCTCTATCACTCCATTCTTACGTCTGGAGTTCCTGTCACTATGAAAGACTCACGATGGAACGGTCTGGAGGAAGCGTCAGGTCGTTTTCCGCTGTGCCCGGTGTAACTCCTCCAATCATAAGCTGGGTCTATATGAGATGGATTGAAGGAAGGAATATCTGTAGGAAGGAATGGCTATCACTCGCTCACTTCCGGAGAATGATTGCATGCATGAGACCCACATGAAGGAAGCGTGTGAATGGGCAAGAGACCCACATGTACAGCATATGCTAGGTGATTGCAAGGAGATCCTACATCCCTGTCGTGCGAAGAGAGGGCATTTGATGACGGCCGGACGGATTTCAACTGATGAATCATCCAGCTTGATTAGGCTAGGGCGCAACCTGTTTTAGAGGGGCCCCCCAAATTGTGGTTTTCCTTTCAGTTTCTCTTTGAACCAACCCCAAAAAGGGTGCCCTGAGCAACACTTGATACACCCATTAATCCTGGGTTCATAGGTGGCACTTTCTAAGTTGGTCAAGGGAAATCAAACGACCAACCCCTTTTTGGGTGTGCCAACTTTAACAATGAGTTGTCGTGAAAAGTTCGAACAAGAACTTGTGCTTCCAGTGAGTAGCAGTCCTGCATGGACAACCCACACACTCTGTCCACTAAAGTGTCTCAACCCACCTGGGCTGCCCGTTTGTCAGATCCCCCGCTCAAAGTGACTAACTTTTGGATGGGTTAAAAGGAAACTACCACGAAACACTAAAAGGATTTTAAAAGGCTAAGGAACCGGATGGCTGGCTTCGCCACCAAGCCACTTGAGAAGAAAAACAACTCGAGGGATGCGCAGCCGGAGCCCTGCTCAACGCACCAGGAATACCCGGCGCATTGGAGGAGAGCGTGTCGAACCCGGCGATCAGGGCCTGCCACGAGTCACCGGTGCAGTCTGCTAGTCGGCTGAGGTTCGTTCAAGCCCGACATGCAAAATCCAGGACCTGACCCTGGAAAAGCAGGGTCCTAGGCCCGGATTTGTATTTCCAGCCAAGATCAAAATCAAGAAGGCCCCGGGTTTTGCGGGTCCCAAGGCAAGACCAAGGTTTAATTGACCTACTTGACCCATCGATTTAGCTCGCTCCAGCCGACTCGTGCAGCAGTGGATCCTTTGTCTCAACACGCTAATAGGAAACTACGAGCTGGAGTTGGCGGAGCCTTTCTCTGGCCTGATCAAAGTCACCCCCGACGTGGGTTCAAGGGAAACAGTCCCATTTTCTGGCTTTGACCCCCCAGAAACCGTCGAAACATGATGACGCCAGAAAAATAGGAAGCAGAAGGAAAGCGAGTTGTCCTGGTTGGGGGGGGAAGGCCCTATTTTGACATACCCATTTGAGTCAGAATGACCCCAGTTTCTCTCAAAGCTGTGAACCAAGGAACCGGCGCACACTACGCTCTCCTAGGATAATCTTCAGGAGGCTCGAGCTCGTAGCTTGGGTTACCTCGAATCCGTGTCGAAAAATTTGACTGTGTCCAGTTCTAGTGGAAAGGACTTCACAAACCTGAAACTAGGTAGGAACCTACTTGGCCATGGGTCAAAATCCCGGTTACCCCCAAGTGAACATACCAATACAACCACTAAAATAGGTTCTAAATTTGTGGTACAGCTACCCCAAAATGGGATCCCAAATCGCTTTTGACAACCACAGCCATTTATGCGCCAGTTCTATTCAGTAGAAAGGACTTCACAACCCTGAAAATAGGGAGGCACCAGCTCTTGAAGATAGGGAGCAACCTGTTTATGCACCTGAGCTACTGATCGGCTCCCGCACCATGATGGTGAGCACAAAGACCAGCATCGCGCTGAGGCCCAGCAGGAGCTTGGCCTCTCGCAAAAATTTGGGTCAAACCGGACCGCTGTCGCAACAATAGGTATCCTTTTTGGAAAATAGATGGATTTCACTGGTAAATGGAATAAAACCAATCTAAACCAGTGCCATCCACTTCTAATCAAGCTAACCAACCCAAAAAGGACGCCGATGGTCGCAACATGAGTTACTCCTTTCCCGACAAATTCAGGGAGCCCACAAAATTTGGTCGCCTACTAGAAATGGCCGCGCCGACGCGGTGCGCAACTCGGCTGGGCGGCAGCGCGCAATGATCGCTCATCCACTGGAAGTAGTAGTCGCACGCACCTGCCAAGCGGGCTACTTGGCGAAAGATTCTCGCATCGTGGTCAACATATTCCCGAATCTTCGGTGCACGTGAGAAAGTATATTAGTTCATTGATGAGGCACGGATAAGCGCCAAATTCTCTCCTCGCAATGAGCTCACTGACGAACTGTTGGGTGTCCACATCATGTTCGCAAGGGAAAAGCCAGCACTACATGCCAACGTCGCTAAGAACGCATCTCGCCCTACAAGGATTCGATATGTCATAGACTCGATGCCATACCTTCTGGGCCAAATTTTTTTGGACCATGCCGCATAAAGGTAAAGACTAGGCCAAGAGGATCCAAGAGGACCTGTTTGTGAGTTGCGGGGGCGCTCCGAACATCTGTATGTTCTCATGAGGCAACATTTGAAGCGTCACATATGATCTTAGTCGTGCCGTGTGTGTTTTCCATTTGTTCAACTGCCTGCTATGCACTTACCTGTGAAGCTCATCGTCCCACGTCTGGCGAACTTTTCGGGAACCCAGCGTTGGACACACCAACCAGGGATCCCTTTAAGACACATGCGATTGAATGGATTGCTGGCACTGAACCTGAGAAATGCATAGGACCCCCAAACGAACAGTCTGCAAGTTCAAAGGGGGATCCCGTTCTTTGTTTTTACTTTTTTCCCAAAAAGGGAATCAGAACGAAAAAAAGGGTTGACGCTATAGCCAGGTCATGTGATTCCCTCGAGCCTTGACACGTTCACAACCAAGCACCTGCTTCTGAGGGTCAGCTCAAGTCACACATACATGACCACAAGTATCATTCTGCAAATTGTTGCTCTCACCATCCCTGTCCGACCCCCCCCCCCTTCTGACGGATTGGGGTCAACCTGGATGTTCAAACACACTTGACACCCACTGGGGGGAAGAGTTGCGGCAAAGCGAATCCAACTTGTCCCTGCGGGGTACACATTTTTGTAAAACCCCTCAAAATGTTCAAGGCTTCCAGGGGTCCTTACGGATAAAGCTTCCTTGGAGTGTCCTTCAAGGGGTCTTTTATTGGCTCAGGGTCATTCATGAACCTTGTGGGACCAAGTCCGCAACGTGCCACGACTAGTCATTGGCTGAGCGTCTTGCATCCTTTACCCAGAACAGTGGCTATTCAATTTGTGGCGGGTTTCCAGCTATAAAAAGCTACCCAGTTGGAATCCATCGAACTGGGAGGTGATTTCGGTCGAACCGAAGAGCAAGATCAAGCCAAGCTCTGACTACTTAGACCAGTGAAAGGAGGCCTTTTCTTCCATTGAAAGGGAACCTCGGCAGAAAAAGGAGCATTCTTGTTGTGGCATTTGATATCGAGAGAGGACCCCCCCTCAAAAAAAGAGAGAGAGAGAGAGAGAACATGAAGGAAAGACACCCGTGGGTCTGCGGAGAAGACTCCCATAAAATATGGAAGCGGGGACAACCCTTCGCAGGTCTGGGGAATGCTCTTCATCCCCCCCAGCGTCCAACCGAACAAAATCCGAGAGGTCAGGGGCTCAGGGCCTTCACTCTGGATCGGCTCCGGCTCAACTTCTGGGCCTGCCCGGGGAAGAACCAACGGAAAACAGAAATTGCTGAGGCCTGCCAAGGCGTGATAAGACAAACATCGATACTGCATACATGCTTGCATCATGTTTACTTCCAACATCTAGTTGAACAAATCTTGCTTCCACAAACCTTGACAAGCAGCCGCCGAGGTACAGCACAGAGATAGCGGTCGACCAAAAATACAACACCACTGTCTCACTCTCTCGCTCTCACTGTCTCACGGTCGCCGCTCCCTGCGCGCTTCTTCCCCTCGGGCGAAGGGGCGCCTTTCAGGCCGCCCGCGGGCTTGGGGAAGCTCTCGTCGTACCTTCCCACGAGCTCGCAGCATGTGCGTCGGAACCCGTTTCGCAGCAGGTCGCCTTTTTAGGTCAGTAACTTGAGGAGGGGGACGAAAGCTAGCAACTGTTCTATGAGACGGGGAGGTTTAGGTCAGTCTGTTGATTGGATCCATCCAACTCAGCTGAGAAAGGATTTGGACCAGTACCACTAGATCAAAGGTCGTGTCCGTCGCTCAGGAAAGTCAAAACTGGGCCCTGGGAAACGGGTTTGGAATTCCATGGCAGAAAGTCTTTGGCGCTCAGAAAGGCTCACCTGAGCTTGTTGACCCCATACTCATCAACCCCTCTTTTTTAATAGGGTGTCCGATTCTGGGTGAAATGTGGGGACTCAAACCCCTTTTGGCTCCCTGCTTCAAAGACCTGTTTGGCACTTGGCACTTGGGTTCCACTTGTTGCTCCCGGATTTCCTGCCTGAAGACTTCACCAACATGCTGCCGTTGCTACCTAGCAAGATCCCTTAGTAGGACTCCCATCCTCAACGACCGTAGCTTCAAACGTGTCCCCGTATAAATCGCGCTACTCTCAAGCCGCGTCGACCCTATCCCAAATAGAAACAGCACTCACGAGCCTGAACACATTGTGAACAAACGCCCTTTCTGTGATACCGTCGGCAGTTCCTATGACAGCATCGCTTTGAAGGAGATTCCTTGGTACTACAGGGAGTTGCTACTAAAGCCCATGTTCCACAGCCATGGTAGAACATGATACAACATGTTAAGCGCACAAATGCCAAAGTTGGCCCACAGGTCCACGATGTGCCTGACAATACTTCGAAATGTCCTAGAACAGCTTTGACGATCCAGCAGTTTGTTGTCCGCCAAAAGCAGACCTAGAAACCGCAATTTGTAGACGCATCTCCTTTGGGCTACCCCTTGTTGAACTCCATGTTGCGTAACTCGCACCAAAGAATTTGCGGAACCAGACTCAGTTGGACCCATGTTTGGTTCAAGTGGGCGTTTCCTAAAATTTTGGAACCTCCTGACACGATTCATGTGCATTTGCTTGCCCCACAAGTCACCAAACGGGGCAGTGAAAAAGCAGAGAGAAGCCATCATGGACATGCGGCTTGCGGTTCTCGTCTCTTGATGGTCAAAACTCCCATGGGCGATCATGTTTTTCCCGAGTGTCAAGTATGTTAGCGGGTTCCTCTGACTAGTAAGGGTCCCCAGGAATAATCCGCGGTTTACCAGGAACTCTTCTGTTGAGACGGTAGATGACCATCTCTGCAAACCCGCAAAAGCCTGCCCTGACCATGGTAAGGATGCTAGCCGAAAGCAACACCTCCCACTTTGACTAGCCAAGGAATGGGTTGCCCGATTTCTTTTACGACGAGTCCAGCATACCAAGAGGAGTTCGAGCTGCCGCTCATAAAACGGGGATGGGGAACCCCGGATCAACGCCACCTTACATCCCTCACGCTTTCTGAAGTATAAGATCCCACACGAATGTCCACTACTCTGCAAATGAATTGGGAGACCTTAAAACTGATCCAAAGGAATCTGCATGTGGGAACCGCCCCAATCCCTTCTCTCACATGCTAAACGTTCCCCTAATACTAAAACCGACTTTCTCTCTCCACACAGGGCTTTCCGAAAACGAACCGGGGACTCCCTATTGCTAAAACCGTTTTTTTTCTGGAGGGACCCACTTGGTATTAGGGGGCGGGGGGGAGGGGGGTAGCATTAGGAGGAAGGGATTATTCAGGTGCCATATAAAATTTTCAGGGGCCAGCCGTTCCCGTGGCAATCCTCCAACTCTGACTCGCACAGGCGCACGCGTACATGCCGCTCCTCAGTTCGTCAAGGACAAAGTCAGCTTCCAGATATGTCCCCGAAAAAAGAAAAACAACAAACTGAAGGAAAACAAACGAATTGCCCCAAAAGGTGATGCGTCAAACCAAAGGGGGGAATATGAGGAACACTGGAAAGTCCAGACGACCCAAAGAAATGGACCTCAATATCCGTGCAGCCGTTGCAGGGTATAAGCGCCCCAGTTTGCAGGCATGTCTGAAGTCAACCACCCGCTGTCAAAGTCTGATTCGTGACCCCTGATATGAGCCCGCTAGTTCAGACATGTTCAGGAAAAGTCGCAATCCTTAGGCGAAATAGAGGGAAGCCAGCACCCCAACAGGCGATATATTCTACATATCGCCCCTAGGTGAACTTCAAATGACTACACTGGATCTTGGCCACCGCTCGTGTGGCAAAGTAGCCAACGTGAAACGCAGGTGTTCATTTGGCAGCTTCGCAGCCACTAGATGGTAGGACAGCGCCGTACTGTGCTCGGAGGACGGGGACCGTGCAACCCTGAAATTCGAGGGGATGCGATCCTAGGACGGGAAACTAATAAGTTGTGCAAAAGGGAAGCATTCAAAGGCACTTGTCAGCTCAATTCTGTAATGAGGCGCAGACCTTTGAGGCGCAGACGCCAACACGAACTTGTGGGCAGCCGAGGCCAAGGCATTGAGGGCCGGCTGAAACCCAAGACGTCCGGTCCAACTTCCAGGGCCCTCAAAAAGCTGGGTCCAACTTGGGCCGAGCTTCCATGAGCCATCGAAGTCGGATCGAAGGGCCCGGGGCTTTGCGTGGTCCAAAGGCCAGGGTCCCTTCTGAGAGCTGGCATCTGCCGAAGCAAAGGTGCGGGTCACCATCTTTGACTCGGTCCAAAAAGCCGAAGAGTTGGCCATGGGCTTTTCAAGATCCAAATCGTACCTCCAGGGAGCATCCTAATCCAACCACTAAAATAGGTTGTAAAATGGGTGGTGCAGTCACCAATCCCCCAAAATGGGATCCCAAAACGGCTTTGACCACCCCAGCCAGTCGGTTTAGGCCCCCCACTTCACAGCGGTGCCCGGTGACACCTGCGTGGGCCTGGTTGGCCTGGTCACGAGATCACGTGTGACTCCGGGAACCCCTTTCCACCTGGAGTCTCCTACCCTTTAAAAATGGGTCCATGACCCCACTATTTTGGGCAACCCCATTAAGGCCCATGGAGACTCCAGGCAGAAACCCGAACACCAAAGCAAAACAAATTCTCGCCACCAGCCCTCTTCTCCTCTCAGAAATCCCAAGTCCCAAAAGCAGTGGCTCCCGGGCCCTCCGTGCACTCCTCTCAGAAAAGGGCCAGACGAGTGAAAAAAAGCCCCCCCAAAAAAAGCCCCATAAAAACGGGTCAACTGCGTGAGGAAAGCCGAAGGTGAGCCAGGAATTGCCGAAACCTTCCATGTCCTAACGACTTTGGAGGATCTACCGAAGAAAGGCCAAAAGAAGCCACTAGTCATGGAAGCCAGCTGAAGGACATCCAGTGGGCGTTGGAGCCAAGTTTGGCTGTTGCCAGCAGCGTGAGAAGCGCTGGAAAGCGTTCCCTTTTTGGGATCTCATAGTGTTCGAAGGAACTGGCTGAAAATGCCTTTCGAATCCTTGGTGATCTCATTAAACATTTCATGCAAGTTCAGTACCCAGCACCTGGGCGTGTTCACCAACGGACCCTTGAAACTCAAACCTGAGTGTCTAGAGGGAGCCTCACAACCTACCAATCTGAGAGCAGCCCTTTGAGCAAGGCGTTGTGGCCACTGTGAAGGGAGCTTGCATTACTGGGAGCGTACCTCAGAGTACCTCACTTGTGCTCACTCCTACCTGCTGTGTGCTGACAGCGATTCACAAATTCGGCATCCTGGTACGACTCTTGACTTCAGAACATACTCCATGTAGGCGCCAGTTGGAGTTTCTCATTTCTTTTCAACCTCGAGCCGCACATCGACAGGAACGCAGGTCTTGCGCGTGCGCGTTTTCCGCATTTGCCCAGCGCCAAACAGGCGAGGCGGGCATCGATTGCACGCCGCCCGGCCTTGGAGATCGAGCAGTCGAATCTGATTCCAATGCTCCAAAACCGCGCTCGCTGGCCGTGGGTCAACACCAATGGCTCCATTTTGGGGTAGGTGCACCACCCATCTTAGTCTATTTTAGTGGGGATTCGGATGTTCACTGGGGGTACAGGGTTTTGACCCAGACCCATCTGATGATCATCTATCTGCCAAAACTTGAACTAAGAATTGGACCCCCAAGAAAAGCACCTATCAGCTCGTGATAGGCAAAGGAATGTGAGCGCGGCTCATTTTTTGTGGGGACCGCCTTGTGGTTGGATTTGAAGGGCGACCGGCAGCCAAGCATACCGAATCAGTAGTGATCTACCCTCAACCTCAGCAAGTGCTTCAATTTCCCCTAGCCCCCATTCCCGACCAGAAAGCATTGCATGAGCGGTCTGAAATTGCGGTGCTTTGTGTCGGGGTTTTATTTTGGGATGGGTAGGGTGGCTTTAGTGGTCCAGGGTTGGTTTTGGATATGTGTACCTTAGCTGATTTTGGCGCAGGGTTGGGCTGGGTTGATGGTAAGGTTTAGGGAAGGCTTAGGCCTTGCTGATGCTCAGTAGGGAATGACCCAGGGTCCCAGGGTGCTGGGAATGCACCTCGGGAATCCCTCAAATTGACCATGGGGGACTGTTTTGTGGGGGTCACTCCCTTGGTTCCCTCACCCTCTTGAAGTTCTTTGGACTGAGGGACGGGCACCACTTGCACTCGGCCTTGAGAGCCTTGGCTCGCGGCTAAGAGGCAAGGCAGGCAACCCATGAGCGCCCCTAGGCGGGAAATAGGACCCC